AGCTGCCGCTGCAAGTGCTCTAATAATTTTAGTAATCTATACTAGTACTTTTACAGTCATTTTGGTGACGAGTGGATAAAAATGCTTCCGAATTATTTGGATATCCGACCCGTTTTAAAAAATCCTTCACAAAAAAAATTTGTTAGGTCGGGTTATATTTAACCCAACTCATACACCGGATATTCCATATTTAATAATTTAGATATTTAGAAGATATGATTAAGATTTATAATTATGATTCTCCTATCATCTTTGTTTGATTTATTTTTAACTGTTTTGAATCATCATATAATACATAGAGTTAAAAAAAATCAATTTTTTTCTCCATATACTATGATTCAAAATTTTAAAAACGGACATATATTATCCAATTGACGAAAATGTGTGTTCAACGTTCTACGTCGATTAAAATATTTAGACAATGATTCAGAATCATATCATAATTATACTACAAGAAAACATGCAATTTGGGACTATCTTCTGTGACCTTTTTTTTGGTCACAAAATTGAGCGACGCATTTGTTACCATTTTGTGACTTGTTAACGACTAAAGCCGGAACAGACGCAAAAGCGTCACATATTTACGACGGACTAATCTCGTCGGTAAATGGTCTCATATATGTGACTATTGTCCAACTATTGTGCGGCTACATATTGTGAGTCGCAACAGCGTCGCCATTCACGACGGATTAGAGACGTTTTTTTAGTCATAAAAGAGAGTCGCAAGGTAGTCTCAAAATTGCCACTATTTTGCCTCTATTTACCAACTCCTTGAGATTTACAATTCGTATTTTGACAAAATAAAATGTTAAATCTGTTAAGTTACGCATTTTTAGATTGATTTGAGCTACTACAAAAACATAGATTATATCTAAAGTTTTTATTTTCAAAGTTTTGGACAAAATCTTTGTAAATATCAAATCATGTACAAGATGTTACATAGGTTTTTAAAGTAAGATTTCTAATTTGTGTAAGTTTGAAAACAAACTTACTAAATGATTGTTTTACCCTCTTAAAATGAGAGATATACTTTATACTTGGAATAGAAATACTTGTAATTCCATAATATTAATGTAGTTGGATCTTAATGTTTAGAATTTTAAAATAGTGGTTTGTGACTCATACAAGAATGTCACAAAAACGTGACTCTTTGCGACCGTCTTGCTACTAAAATAGTGGTTTGTGACTCTATATTTGTGACTACTTTGCTACTCCAGTGGCTTTGCGACTACTCTGCCTCTGTTTACCAACTGCTCGAGATTTAAAAATCATAATTTTTACAACATTGAATTGAAATAATGTTAAGTTTTAAGTTTCAACATATATTTAAACTATTATGTAGACTAAATCTTAATAACAAAAGATATAAAGTCTATATTATAAATCTACTAGAAATCGACCCATGCGTTGAGTGGGTTTAGTCGTAAACTATATTGGTCTAATTATTTTATTTCATTAGAAATGCCCCTCATTAAAACCTAAAATAAAAAATGAATAAGTGGATACTCCTATAAGGTTTGAAAATTCAATCGAGTTAAGGACATTGGGGGTGACGTACGGGGGACGAG